ATAAATAAACAAGATACTAAGTGACTGACTTTTGTAACTACAATTTCACAGTTAGCTTTTATAGTTAAAAAATTCTAGGCTTCATTTTCATTTTATTTAGTTTCCTTAATTAACATGATTTTTTGTGTAAATTTAATATTGAAATTGAAGTTATAATAATAACAACAATTATTGTACATAATCAATTTTGCCGCAACTTGACAAAATGCAATTCATATAATCTTCTCATTAGGAGGCTATCATCTTCCAAAATACTGTAAAGCTAAACAACTGAAGTAAGATAGTAGCTTCAATTTTTCTGACACTAACTCATTTTGTTTAATCAGGAAATGGGGTGCTTTGACTGTTTCAGCTATTATTATTGTTTTGGCTGGTGTAACTATAAATCATCTTATCGAGGGAAAGAAAGATGCCGGTAAGTGCATTCACCAAAATCAATTTTATTTTGCACCAAATAAAATATTGAATTTAAATCCTTATTCATTAGTCTAACACAGTACATGTATTCCAATTGCTTGCAAACTATATAGTACTTCATGAACTTAACTTATTATAATTCATCTGTAACTCACAATCTCACACTGATTCTTTGATATAGCTACTGATGCTTCTCCATCTTTAACAGGACAGCCTCATCATGGTACTCCAGATGGAGTCAGACAACTAGGTAAGACTATACCATGATAGGTACAATAATAATCTACCCTGTATTAATAATGTTCATAGATGCAGAGGATGTTGATAAAATACTTATAGTGCTAGATAAAGTATTCTTTGGTGCAGCAAAATGGAATGACTTGGGGCTTCAGTTATGTCTATATCAGCCAAAACTCAATGTCATTGCAGACGGTGGTGATGCATACAGGCACTTGAGGAAGACTATAGAAGCATGGCTAAATAGTGAAGATAATGCAAGAAGTAGAACATGGCAGACTTTGATAGATGCAGTGAGGGGAACAGGGAATCGTGCAGCTGCTGAAAAAATGCCTCAAAAACTGAAAGAACTCTATAACATTACTGTTTAAGAGTGAAGTACATGTTAAGTTTTATAGTGTTAAGAATAAAACCACAGGTAAATCAACATAAAATGAGGAAGATGTTAGAGCCTGTCTAGTGTCTACCCAAAAGTCTATACCAACACAGAGGCTGGCTACATAAGAATCTGCACCTTGTCAATTTCATTATTTATTTGTACATCACAAAACCACAAAATATGTAAATTTGTACATGTACAGTAGATCTAACCTTAGGAAATGTTGCACATGGTCATTGTCTCGGCCCAGCTCCTTCTGATGTGGTCATTACTTTATTATGATCATACCATTTATTGCCTTATATATCTTTCCTTAATGTAATAGTGAAATGCTTTTATAATCCTACATAAACAATTAAATAAATACTATTAATAAAATTTCTTAGTTCTTACAATGTAATCTACTATTTCCAAACATTAATTAATTTAAGGCGTGGTCATTTTTGGGCGGGGTCCCTAACATTGGGCGTACTCCATAAAAAACTGGGGACCTCCCTTACCTGTCCTGTCTGTCTTTCTCTTTCTTTCAAAGATGGTTGATTTCTTTCGTTCAGCAATGAGTTACCTCAGCGGTGAGGGAGACGTAGGAGGAGGCAGTGGCGGTGGAAACGCTTTCGTGGGACAAACTGTTGACATTGGAGACGGGATGAAACTTAAAGTTAAAAAATTTATAGCTGAAGGTAGACCCTCTTCTCTCTCCCTCTCTCTCCTTCACTCATCTCTCCCTTTCCAGGTGGCTATGGGTTTGTATTTGTTGCTCAAGATACAAGCACTGGAATTGACTACGCACTAAAGGTAGTTAACTACAAATTACTACTTGTATATACAGTACATGTACATGTACATTATAATGAGATGCATGCCCTCAAAAATTTAAAATTCTTTGTCAACACTTTTAGAGGCAGATAGTAGCTTCGGAAAACATTAAAGCAATCAAGCAAGAAATAACATTTTTAGTAAGTTAATGAATTAAATAAATGTACATACGTGTACATGTACTTTTAAACTCTCTCTCTCTCTCTCTCTCTCTCTCTCTTTTAGACTCAATTGTCTGGTCATCCTCATATAATTAATTTCATTGGTGCCGCTAGTTCTAAGGATCCAGCTGGAGGGAGTGCAGAGTTCCTCATTGTAACTGAACTTATTACCGGTATGAATAAAAA